CCCCCTACACCCTCCCTTTTCCACATAGCAGCCGCACCACTCATGGCCTCTTCCCCAAATAAATTAGAAATCAAAAAATATAATCAAATACTAGCAACTATCATTAAAAGAATATTAAAAGTCAAATAATCAATAATTAAAAATCTAAAGTCAAAAACAATTAGCAATTACAATAATTGGTATTTACAAAAGGAAAAACCACTCAAAAATGACTTAATAATTAAGATTTTGAGATTTTAAATTATAGATTTTAATTTTTAATTTTGAGTTTAATAAGAAAAAATTAAAAAAAAATTCTCTTTATATATATATATAATCTATTGTCATCATATGTTAAAAAAAATAAAGTAATTGCAAAAGAACATTCTGACTAAAGGAAAAGGTATTAGAACAATCAAATTATATGTTGAATTGGGAGAAAAAACTATGGATTTAGATAATCAATTATGTTATAAGTAACAAGTAAGTTGAGGTTCGTCTTTTTTACTTAATAATGAACATATATGTACTGTAATTCGTTATTTTATGGTTAAACCTGAAGAAAATCTTTTATATTTTTTAGGGGGCCTAGGGCCTCAGGCCCCTAGCTCAAACCCCTGACTTAAGTTTTTTATTCCTTACGTATATGTATCTTTCCAATAATATCTCTAAATATTGTAGTTTTCAATTTTTATACTCCTAATTGTTGTAGAATATATGATCTAGAATGGTTACAGATTGAAAATTTATTAATTTGAAAGGATTTTTTAACTTTTTAATTTATTTAAAGTCTCTTGATAATTTATATTTTAAGTGAAAAAAATTTTATCTATTCAAATCAAGACTTAATCTTTAAAATTTATAAACTTGTTTTTAACAATTCTTTTTAATTTTGGATCAAGATAATTGTATGACTATGAATACTTTAAATAAAAGCATTTGACTTTTTTTATTAAAATATTATAAATTTATTATATTATCAATGTGTTATTACAAATAAAATTACATTTTGAGAGAAACGGTAGATTGAGGGAGAAAACAAAGGAAAAGGAGAGAAATGAAGCACATTTTCAAGAAGCTACACAAAGGCCATAATCACGAGTCTAATCGGACCAACGAGACGCCGCCGCCGCCGCCGCCGTCTCCCTCATGCGCCACCGATCATCAACGTACCATGTCCGGAAACTCTCCGACGAGTCCCTCCACGTCATCACCTTCTCGGGCTACTGTTTTGACGAGCCTCGGGAACACTAGAGCAGCGTCGACTGTGTCGGCAAGTAATGGTACCGATTACATGTTGTCGGAGGAGGAGTTCCAGGTTCAGTTAGCTCTAGCGATCAGCGCGTCGAATTCGGAGGATCCCCAGAAGGATCAGATCCACGCAGCGACTCTGCTGAGCTTGGGCGGTACAGGCAGGGATAGGGAGGAGGTGCCCGCAGAGGATTT